GGGCCTGTGAGGGCCTGGGGGGGGGCAGGGGAGCTGTGGGGCAGTGGTTGTGAAGGGGAGATAAACCGGGGGTGGCTGGGGGGCTGCACGGGGTGTAGGTGCCCGGGAGTAGCTGGGGGGGGCTGCGAGGCGCGGGCCGTGGCTGTCTCCCCCCCAGGGCCCCAGCCCCGGCCCCCCCGGGGGCCCGGCCGCGCTCCCGCCCCGCGGCGCTCACCTGGGTGCTCGCCCCCTCCCGGAAGGCCTGGGCCCCCGCTGCCGCGGGAAGGCGCCCAGGTCCCGGGCCCGCTTGGTCTCCTCCCCCGGCCACTCCTCGCAGAGCTCCGGAAACCGCCGGCAGCGGGTGGCCGCCATCTCGGGACTGCGGCTCCCGCGGCGTCACGTACCCGGCCACAGACGATTAACAGGTCACGTGACCCGGAGTAGGCCAATAAGCTCGCTAATTAGTCAAAACTACAGAGGCCGAGAGGGAAACACTGGCCGAGAGCGGAAGGCGCGTGCGCACTCAGAGCGGCCGTTCGGAGGTCAGGTGGCGCATGCGCAGCATAGTCCAGCGAAGCCATGTGCTTCGGGCAGGAGCTGGAGCTAAGGCGGCGGATACGCATGCGCCGAAGGGGCTAGAGCCTGACATGGACATGTGCCCTGAGAGGCCCCTGTGGCTGGGAGCAGGGGACGGTGGGGTGCAGGGGGCAGAGCCTGGTGCATGCTCCTAGCCCTGACCTGCCCCCAGTGTGCTGGGTAGGGGCAGACCAGATTTTACACAGAACATGGAGCCCTGGTCTGGCCCACCCCATGATTATTCTTAGACCCTTTATAAGTGGTGTGAGCAAAATCCATCAGGCGGACGTCAGCTGTGGGGTGCCCAGTCCCCTGTGGCATGGTGGGTGTTGCAGTCCACGAGCGGAACATGCCCCAGGGTGGTTGTCCAAGGTTTCTGTATTCTCCTGCGGTTGTCCATCATAGCTGGAGGATGAGACGCAAGCTGGAGTAGAACGGATAGGAGCTCTCGTTTTTTTATGTCCGACAGCAGTCAATAGGCTGAGACACAAAGCGTTCCAACAGGTCTGCTCTGACGTGGTTACCGCTATGAAGGAAGCGGTAGGGCAGTGGTTTTCAACGTTTTTTCATTTGAAGACCCCTAAAAAAAATTTTAATGTGCAGAGGGGTGCGGACCCCTTTGGAAATCTTAGACATAGTCTGCAGAGGTCTGTGGACCACAGGTTGAAAGCCACTGTGGTAAAGGACTTGTTTGAAGCCAGCAGGTGATGGTTTACTTCCCTATTACTTGTCTTGGCAGAGAAATTGGCCAGTATCTACTTGGCAAACCTTGAATAAAAAGAACAATAATCCAGACTATAAAAAGAACAGGAGGACTTGTGGCACCTTAGAGACGAACACATTTATTTGAGCGCAAGCTTTCGTGGGCTACAGCCCACTTCATCGGATGCATAGAATGGAACATATAGTAAGAAGATAGATATATAGATAGATATACATACAGAGAACAAGAAAAGGTGGAAGGAGCCGTACCAACTGTAAGAGGCTAATTAATTAAGATGAGCTACAAAAGTTTTTTTCTTCTGCTGATAATAGCTCATCTTAATTAATTAGCCTCTTACAGTTGGTACGGCTACTTCCACCTTTTCTTGTTCTCTGTATGTATTTCTTACTATATGTTCCATTCTATGCATCCGATGAAGTGGGCTGTAGCCCACGAAAGCTTACGCTCAAATAAATTGGTTAGTCTCTAAGGTGCCACAAGTCCTCCTGTTCTTTTTGCGGATACCTACTAACATGGCTGCTACTCTATGTGTCTCTCGAATTACTGCACCTTCGAAACATCCTGCGTGTAAACAATTCAGCTAATTTGACAGAAGGAAAAGCACGTAGTTTAGAATCATAGAATCATAGAATATCAGGGTTGGAAGGGACCCCAGAAGGTCATCTAGTCCAACCCCCTGCTCAAAGCAGGACCAATTCCCAGTTAAATCATCCCAGCCAGGGCTTTGTCAAGCCTGACCTTAAAAACCTCTAAGGAAGGAGATTCTACCACCTCCCTAGGTAACGCATTCCAGTGTTTCACCACCCTCTTAGTGAAAAAGTTTTTCCTAATATCCAATCTAAACCTCCCCCACTGCAACTTGAGACCATTACTCCTCGTTCTGTCATCTGCTACAATTGAGAACCGTCTAGAGCCATCCTCTTTGGAACCCCCTTTCAGGTAGTTGAAAGCAGCTATCAAATCCCCCCTCATTCTTCTCTTCTGCAGGCTAAACAATCCCAGCTCCCTCAGCCTCTCCTCATAACTCATGTGTTCCAGTCCCCTAATCATTTTTGTTGCCCTTCGCTGGACTCTCTCCAATTTATCCACATCCTTCTTGAAGTGTGGGGCCCAAAACTGGACACAGTACTCCAGATGAGGCCTCACCAATGTCGAATAGAGGGGAACGATCACGTCCCTCGATCTGCTCGCTATGCCCCTACTTATACATCCCAAAATGCCATTGGCCTTCTTGGCAACAAGGGCACACTGCTGACACTGTTTAGCGTTAGCCTAAAAGGAAGGGGTCCACAATCAAGCTGATACATGAAATGCTTAGTTCCTCTCCAGTCTCAACAGCTTAGGGCAATTTATGTACCAGGCTTCTAACTGAATCAAAGACCGTGGCTACATGGGAGGTTTAAGCCACTGCTAGACAGCCCCCAGTATAGCTGCACTGGTGCAAACTCCTAGGTAGACAGGCTATAAACTGCAATTTGCACTGGTGCACTTTACCCCTGCTTGAAACCAGTATTAGATGCATGGATGAAAACAGTGATTGATAGCAATTTACCCCATCTACGCTAAGGGTTTGCACTTGTGCAGCAAAAAACAGTAGCTGAAATGGGGATAAACAACCATTGTGGACCAGACCTTAAGAGAGGTGCTGTACCCAGTGATGAGCTGCCAAAATCTTAACAACCGGTTCTCTCCTCACCACACCAGGGGGTCGTGGCCCACCCCTGCCCCCCCAGGACTCCTGCCCCATCCAATCCACCGCGTTTCTTGACGGCCCCCCCCGGACCCCTGCCCCATCCACCCCCCTCCCCTGTCCCCTGACTGCCCCCAGAACTGGACAGGAGGGTCTCGTGGGCCACCGTAGTGGGTGCTCACCCCGCCCCTAAGAGCCAGAGGGACTGGCTGGCGGGCGAGGTGGGGAGTCCCAGCGGTGCTTACCTGGAGCAGCTCCCAGGAAGCAGCTGGCAGGTCCCTGGGGATCGTAGCTGAGGGGGAGCACCCGCTCCCCCGACTGATCACATCAAAAGGACTCCATGGGTGCTCCGGGGCTGGAGCACCCACAGGGAAAATTTGGTGGGTGCAGAGCACCCACCGGCAGCTCCCTGCCCCGCGCCCGGCCCCAGCTCACCTCCACTCCGCCTCTGCCTCCTCCCCTGAGTTACACTCTGCCCCACTCTGCTTCTTTGCCCCGGCCCCCGTGAATCAGCTGTTCGTGTGGGAAGCCGGGGAGGGCTGAGAAGCAGGCGGCGGCTTTGCGCTCAGTCCCAGAGAGGCAGAGGCGAGCTGGGGCGGAGAGCGGTTCCCCTGCGTGCCCCCTTCCCCCGGGTTACCTGCTGCGGTGCAGGTGGCCCTCCTCGCGCCCCCACCCCTGCCCCAGCTCACCTCCACTCCGCCTCCACCTCCCTGGGCCTGAGCGCGAAGCCACCGCCTTCTTCTCAGCCCTCCCCAGCTTCCCGCGAGAACAGCTGATTCACGGGAAGCAGGGGTGGAGAAGCAGAGCGGGGCGGTGCGTTCAGGGGCGGAGGCGGAGCGGAGGTGAGCTGGGGCCGGGCGCGGGGTGGGGCGGAGAGCTGCCGGTGGGGGCTCTGCACCCACCAAATTTTCCCCGTGGGTGCTCCAGCCCCGGAGTACCCACGGAGTCGGCACCTAAGGCGCCACTTTTGGCCAGTTGTTAAATTTAGAAGTCCTTTTAGAACCGGTTCTAAAAGGGCTTCTAAATTTAACAACCGGTTCTAGCAAACCAGTGGGAACCGGCTCCAGCTCACCACTGGCTGTACCCTCCCCTCAGCTGGTAATGCACAGTACTATAGTCTTATTTTCCAAAGCACAGAAATAAAGAATGGCAAGGAAATCTAGACAGGAATATTGACACAATCAAGATCTGCGAGTGGATACAGAATTCGGTTATATACCACATGTAATTTAAAGGGTAATCAGTTTGGCATCAGAATGCTGAAGACTGGAGAGGAACCTACTTGATGCTAGCTATTTACAGTGTTATATATGTGTTTTAATCATAATAATTATCCTGCAGACACAGCAGAGCAATGTTCTAAATCTTCTCAGAGGCATAAGTGGAAGAAATTTATGCTTTCAGTATCTAGCAGGAAGGGGTGATCATTTTAATCATGAAAAGCCATAACAGTTAGCACAAAAAGGATGTCTGGTATTTCATCGACTAGACTAAAATGTTCCTAGAAATGAACGAGCATGGAAAGTTTATGTTCTTCTTTCTTCCAGGTTCCAGTTCTGACTAACACTGAACAGTGTGGGTGGAGAATCAGAACAATGTTTCTAGGGCCAGATTCTTAGTTGGTGTAAAATGGTGTAGCTCGATTGAGGTGAAGAATGAAGCTGCCCCAGTTTATACCAGCTAAGAACGTGGCCCTTAGTAAACTCTACGTGATAATTCCTTGTGCTTGTTTTGAAGAACAGAAATACTGAAGGGGTCAAGAGACCAAGAGTCCTTCCTACCTGCATTCCATAGATGCGAGATCCAGAAATGCTTTGGTCACACCTCTTTATATGGCATGCTTTCTTCTCTTGTGATGCATTGTATCCATGCTGCTTGATTCCCATTGTTTAAGACCAGAATGAAGGGATATTGTGACCTTTTATTTTAGTTAAAGTGGATTTAATAATGTCGTTTTACACCACTGGCTACGGTCTCAGTCTCAACAGAATGAAAGTTACCTCTGCCACTTGTTTCAGATCTAGAGCCTCTAGGAACAAGGAAAGCAACACAGACAGTCACAAGAACAATGTCTAACAGCCTTTCTAAATTTTATTAAATTACCAGCAAAGTTATGACTATTCAAGTATAGATAAATCCTACACATATCCACGCACAAATTATAGCTACAGTCATACTCACATCCTCCTAGATAGTCTTACGGTCTGATGGATCTCTCATTAATTGATCATCAGGAGAGGGATGGTTCCTGTTGGAATTTTCCCATAGGGAACTCAATTTTCCCAATCTGGGCACCCTCTTTTTCAATGTGATTCTGACTATGCCTGTGTGTGAAAGTGTCAACCCTCTTTTTCCTCATTCATATTGTGTCTCCAAGAATATTGGGGTACCGCATTTCTCATAGGTTGTGTGTAGTTCCTTTTATTCTCATTAGTACTGATGCACAACCTGCATCCTGCGGGTAAGGCATGTGTTAGAAAAAAGGTACCTCTCGGGCATTTTGTGATCTAAAATGAATCTTATGGCTAATTTTTCGCAATATCACCCATTGGTACATTTTTCCCCTGTAATCTTATGGCATCGGGTTATTTTTTGGTCATTTATGTCAAGCATTTCTTAATTCTAAGGCCTAGTATGGCTAAGCTAAAATCATACAGGCCTCAGCCTGTAGGCCTCACATTTCAGCCCTATTTACTTAGATACCTAATACATATTTATCCCTTCTAATTACTGATCAATCTTATAGGCCTATAATCCTACCACTTCAGTCTATTCAACATACAATGATTATATATTACATGGTATGTTAGGTAAACTTAACATCACACAACACACAATAAATGAATGATAGAATGAAGTAACTGGCTACAATATTTATACTTTAACACCACGTTTTCAAGTAACAGAAACTGAACACATGAGTTAAGGGAGACTTATTATGAATATACAGTTGAAAAAGGTCTTACATCAGAGGTGGCTGTGTGCATCCTCTGAAGTTTACTCTAATCATTCTCAACTGTAATGAGACTTTGCAATCCACCTTTACCAGCCGCACCCCTCACGGCAACTGGCCCCTTGTTGCCAATTTCAGCCAATTTACCCTAAATGCAATGGTACCAGTCAGATTACCAATGGCTCAGATCTCTAGTGCAGAACTGGCCCAAAGCTGTCAATCCACCACGTTTCATCAACACCAAATTCACTCAAGTCTCTTGGTGGGACGGTTAAGCTGTATTGGTCACATGATGTTTCGTAGGCAGGGGAAGGGATGTTGCTGCTTTGAAGCCTGTATGTTTCATAATTCCTATGTTATTGTGTTTTCAAATATATACGAAGGCCTTCCTTGGCTTGGATGGATACCCTTTGATGTGGAGTTTCTTTTAAACAGAGACAGAGAGGTTGCTGTCACTCAGTCATAGGGCTGATTGTGGTTTGAGTAATGCACGAGTGAACAAAAGGCCAACTGGCTCCTCAGGCGAGCCTGAAAAATTAATGTAGTTTACAAACATTTCCTCTTGGAGAACAGATCCAGGGGCACAGACAGCTGCTCTGTGGACTCATGCTACAGGGTCATAGAAGTTCCTCTAGTCAAAGGGATAAATCAGCTGATGGCATTCTCATTAGCAGCACCCTCTGCGGCTTGAGATGCCTCATTTGGCCATGTTCAGTGGCAACGAAAGCTGCCGCCCATGTCTCCAAGCAAATTATCCCACGAGGCTTTAGGAAACTTCAGGGATGGTTTGACCGGGCAAAAGAGCATGATGATGATCTGTGGTAAATCCTCGGGTTCCACGTCCTAGGTGACGCCTATCTGGAAAATGTGACCCAAAAAAGATCTGTTTGGAGCGGCCTCCAGCATATAAAAGTTTCAAGGAGAGCAGGGAAAGTCCATAGCTGGAAGAAGACACCCTCCATTTTTCATGCAGACTGGGCTGGTCGCAGCAGGTCATGAAAACCTCCCCTCCCTGCCCCCAGCCAGAGTTAATTACTATTAAAATAAAAAGTTCACTGGAGTGGAACAAACGTAATTACTTTTTGGGAGCCTAATTATCTGCATTTATTGCCAGCGCTTTGTTGTAATTGATTGCTAATGGCCTGCTTCGCTCTCGCATTATCTAATTAATACCGCCGCAGATATCGGGAGAGCAGACGGCTCTCAGAGATGGGGATTTTTCCACAGTCCCCAGCCTGCACCTTCGCCACTTTCTGGCCTGTTTGGTCACCTCTGGCCGTGGCTAGGCTGCATTCCCTTCTGCCGTATCTGGCCATGTCCTGGCTGCAGGGGCCCAACAGCCTCTGTTATTGCGCTGCTATTGATACCCTCTGCTCTTCTCCTGGGCCGCGTTACCCCCTCGCTGCTTTCCATCCTACAGCTGGGTCTAGTCCCACCTCGCTGCAGCCTCTCTGAACGCCCCCGTTAGCGGCTCCAACCTTCTCTGCTGTACTCCGGTTGCCTCTTGCACCTCACTCATGACCTACGACCGCGAGCTGCAAGGGGATGCAGAGCAGACGCGTTGCATAACGCATTTGCCTCTGTCGCTTTCAGGGCAGTTCTGTTTTGAAAAGCGACGATGTAGAAACGGCCCCATGCTACCCAACAGATCTGTTCCCAGTGAGGGTCACTCCTACCCGCTGGCCACAGTGATAAATAAGATCTTTCCTGCCTTTTACGCTCCTTCGCCCGGCAGAGCTCAGGCAAGAGCAAGCTGGAGTCTATTCCCGCTTGTGAATCTGCACTGGAATCGCTTGCTTACCCCCAGGCGGTTATAGCAGCGGAAATCCATCAGAGGCAGCGCCAGAGAGGGGGTCTCGATGGGAGGCATTGAAGGTAGAATTGGTGCCGTGGAGCTTTCTTACTGGTGATTTTCAAGAAGGACATGCTGCGGATGATATCGAGGCCTCAGCTGCAATGGGGATCTGCCCCGATTCCAGCCACTGGTGGCACCTGCATTGAGGCCAGCCCCTCACACAGACAGACAAAGCTGCCGTTTGCACCAGGGGGACTTGATCCCTGTTTCATAGATGCATAGAGCTGACCTCTTGCATAGCAAAGGCTGTTCCATTGCACCCAAATCCCTCTGCACTGAGCCCAAATAACTTGAGTTCAACTAAAGCATTTCAGTCCTCGGGAGACAACTGCATGTGCCCCAGGCAAAGAACAGGAGAGGCCGAGGGACCGCCAAGGACACACCTTGCGGTGGCAAGTTTCAAGCAAAAGTGAGCATCGGTGCAAAGAGCTTTGCCTCTCTGCACTAGGGGTTCACATGGGTGCAGCTGCCCGGAATGGAGGCAAATGCCCTGAATTGACAAGGACCTTAAGGTTGTCAAACACACTTGAGAAGTTTCCCCTTTTGTGCTTATTGGTTTAAGGATGGGGGAGGGGGGAAACGCTAGCACGGTGGGTAGAATCCTGGCTCTGTTCCTTCTGTGCACTGGATACCCTTGATGGGGGATATCAACTGTGCTAAAGTGAACAGCTCCCTTCCTTGAGATGCTAAATTCCCGGCATGAAATCAGGCCAGGCCCGGGGCTGCAAATGGTGACCTGGCTGCAAAGCCATTAACCGTCTGCCTGGCTCAAATGGAGTGAAATTCAGCAAGGAAGAGAAAAGCATCAAAAGTGCTGAGTCAACTCCTGGTTACGATTCCTTCTGTGTCAACGAGAAGAGGTGAGGGTTAGAACGGCAATCCATTGTTCCCCATGTCCACCAAGAGCAGGACAAGAAGGAAGCAGCTTATTTTGCAAGCAGGGAGATTGAAGCTGGGTTTTAGGAAAAACTTTCTGACTCTAAAGATTGCTAAGCACGGGGACAGGTTACCAGTGGGGATGTGGAATCTTTGTGGTTGGTGGTTTTAAAGACGAGGTTAGACAAATACCTGTCAGGGATGGTCTTGGTCAGTGTTTCTCACCCTTTTTGATACCAGGGACCAGCTTGCTGCCTTCCTAAACTGTGTCAGAAAATTCTCAAGGATCGGTGCCAGTTCATGGACTGGTTGTTGAGAAACACTGGTCCGGGGTTACTTAAACCTGGCTCGGCATGGGGTAGATGACCTCTCAAGGTCCCTTCCAGCCCCACATTTCTGTAATTCTCTAACAGGTAGACGGACCATGGCTATTCTAAAATGACTTTGAACAGAGCACTGGAGTTTCAAGACTAGACAGGGTAGCCTACAAGACAGAGCACTGGCCTACAACTCAGGACACCTGGATGCTAATGCCAGCTCTGCTACTGGGCGACCTTGGGAAAGTCACTTCACCTCCTGGCGCCTCAGTTTCCCCAGGCTGGTTCCTCGGTTCCCCCGGGATCGTGATCCTGACCTGCTTTGTAAAGCGCTTCTTTGGGCTCTATGGATGAAAAGCCTTGGGTAAGAGCTAGGTGCAATTATATTGAAGTACCACATGGGAAGTGCACTGAAGCAGGACACCGCTCCCTGAGTCAACACAGAGACTCCCAATGGGCTTCGGATCAGATCCGAACTGGGGCTCCAGGTAGGCAGAGGATGATACAGAAGACTCCGGGGCCTGATCCTGCCATGAGCTCTGAAGTCAATGGGGTGCCATGCAGGCCCAGGGGGCTGTAGTCTGGGCGCTGTCAGCTCAGTGAGGCGGCTACAGAGCAGCTGAAGCTAACCTGATGTGCCTACCTGTGAAGATCAACTAGCCAAAAATAACTCCTCGGAATGAGCAGCCCCAGTATTCATTTCCCTCCCTCTAACTGCTTTTGTTTGCAGGAAAGCAAACCAATGCTGCGGCCGCCTCCAGGCAGCTCAAGGGTTTGGGGGGAGCAAACCTTTTAACTCTCAGCCTGGTGCCTAGCCGCAGTAGAAAAGGCTCAGTTTAGCGTTAGATGCAGCCACAGGAGGAGCGAATAGAAATCACCAACCGCAACTGCCTCCTCCGCCTTTCTCTAGGAGATGCTGAGTTCTTTTGCTCCCCTTTCCAGCGGCAGGATGTTTGGGCATAAAAACAACCCTGAATGATTTCCGAGCTATCAAAGAACTGTACCCTGGGAGGAAAGGATGTGTGGGGCATTTGAAGCCGACCCATAGCACCAGAAGGAAGTAAACAAGGGGTTAAGTTGCTGAGAGAGACCATCAAAGCCAATGCCATAAATGTGGTTGAAAAGAGATCAGGCACATGGGGGAAGGACTGAAATATACAGCAGGGAGGTGGGGGCGGGAAAGAACTTGGCTAGTGCCATCCATCTGCTCTTGATGTCCGACCCTTTCTGCTTAGTCCTCCTTTGCGGTATGTACAGAGGGACAGAGGGAAGGAGACTGCTGTGACATGAGTTCCCTTAGAAAGCAGAGATCAGATCCCTGCTCTGACACCTCCCAGATGCGCCGGAGACCTTGTGTCATTGTTCAGGAGCTGATGAGCGGAGCTCTGTGGCAAGGGAGAGCAGAAAGTCAAGCTGCAAGGAGACAGGCCAACCCCTTCCCAAGAAACCAACAGGGTTTCCTTTATTCCCCCCACCTCCCAGGAGGCTGCTGTCAGGTACAGCAGAGCCCACTGGCAGGAAGGCCCGTCAGCTCGTGGAGGAATTTCCATTTCAAAAGCGTGAAAGCCTTAATTGAATTGTATTCCCAAGCAAAGCCTCGGATGTGCCAACCAAGTGAGGCTGATTAGAAAAGACTGAGGACGCCTGAAAGGCAACCCTGGCAGCTGTCTGGGGAAGCTGCTGCAGAAGTAAATCAAAGGCTGAGCCAGTTCAACCACACGGCACGCACTGCGGGAAGTTTAAGGCGCCGGGTTAAAATGAGGAATCGAGGCTATTCAGCCCCATTCATGACAGCAGAGCGCCTAGCAGCTGTCTGGGGGGCTCCTGCCACTGTCAGTATTTCATCAGTGCCTAGAGACACTAACTTACTCGTGTAAGGTGCTGTGCATGACAGTGGGAACAGCCAGTCCCAGTCCCTGCCCTGAAGAGTTTCTAGCCTAATGAGACAAGGCAGGAGTGGCAGATTGATTTGCTGAAGGACACATACTCAGTTAGTAACACAACTGGGCTAGAACCCAGCCCTCCTGATTCCCAGGCCAGTGCCTTATCCATTGGACCACACTGGTCCAGATAAAGACTGAATTCCTGATACGGAGAGGGGCATGGACACAGATAAGTTTGGTTCACTCTAGCCAGAGCAAGCCTGAGCTGTCAGGGCTATAAATCATCAGCGAGAGAGATGCTGATTCTGTCTGTAAAATAAATCCCAGTGCCCTGTTACAGCTCTGTGGCAGCTAGTCCTGCATCTAGATTGCTGTTCCTTCACTCGTTTGTTTACTGTAGGGTTGCCATGAATGCCAGACCATTGTTGTTGTTATTCCAGGTTAGTTTTTTAGTGAATTGGTTGTTTGGGGTGGGAGAGCCCCATGCACTTTCCATTCGGAGCGCTGGATAAAATAGCTCAGATGACCCTATTTAAAAGTCTCCGGAGTTTCACCATGACATTACTGATCAGCAAGTTATTGGTTTTCAAATTATACCTTACAAGGCATATTTTGTACAAAGATTATTACAAAATAGTGTGCCAGGTGTGAAGGCATTCTGTCACAGTAAGGCAGCGTGCGATCCTCGAAGGAAAGATGTTTGAGAAGTGCAGAGCGTGGCTGTCATTCTAATATATAACTCATGCATAAGGGTTGCTTTGCCCACCACTCAGATGCAGCCACCTCTGGGTAGACCTGGCAGCTGCTTAACAGCACCCAGCCATTATTATGATTGATTATTATAATTCATTATTTGCAATGCAGTAGTACCCAGGAACCACAGTCCTAGAGCAGGTCCCCACTGGGCTAGGGCTGTATAAACATGGA